GAAAGCATTATGGCTATCATCTACTGTAAAGCCCAAATTTCAATATGCAATTACTTTGTCACTTGTATAAGATACATTGTACATTTATATAATTTTCCTACTTAACTAAACCCCTGCCGTGGTTAATGGGCCCCAAAAGGTAAGAAATCAGAGAACACTTTCAGGTTAGCAGATATTTCTCAACAACCATTAATTGCCCCTAAATCCTTACTACATTAGGTGATAACCGCCTGTACTCACGCTGTGCTTCGCCTCCACATCAGCGCCATGTTCAATCAGCAACTCCGCTACCCCGGTCTTCCCGGTAAAGCTGACCAGATGGAGTGCGGTGCAGCCATTCTGCGTAAACACACAGAGAAACTATAAATTTGCTGCACATTGGTGTATTAAAATAGACTCTCAAGGGCAGCATGATTGACTTTTCATGTTTAATCTGCAGCTCCGCTACCCCAGGTTCCACGTTTATGCTGGCCCGATGCAGTGCGGTCCAGCCACACTGTGTAAACACATACAAATCTGCTACACATTGTTGGATTGAAAAAAAAACACCCTGGAGGACAGCAAGATGAAGTTTTTAGATAAGGAGGAAAGTGCTTTTACGATTGACAATTATACATTATTAGCAAAGTACACATGTAAATAAAAACAAGAAGCCATAGGTGACAATTCTCCGTGAAGTATTATATATTGCAACAAAAAGAAGTAGCCATTGGCGACAATTCTCTGTGAAGTGTGATAAATCGAACAAAGAAAAATTGTTTAAACGCGCGTCGGCTCAGTCATCTTTAGACGCAACAACCAATCAGAGATGCGAAATTCCGACACGTGACGTGGGATTTGCATGCAGTCTAAACAACGGGGAAGGGCGCGCGATGGCCGAAATATTTTTGCGTCAATATTCAGCGCCGTGTTTCAAGAGATTAATACCGGGAAACAATTTCTTTTCTTGTTTTGAACGCATAAACATGCATTTACGCTAATCTAGTATGATTCAGGGTTACTTTTTTTTACCTGCCATGGCCAGACTAAAGATGTGTGTATTGTGTGTACAATCTACAGAAAGAGAAATGTACATCAGGTCCGATCATCCGATTTTCACGTTTCGGTTTTTGGACTCGGATCATGAACGTATTTTGGTTTGGCTCCTGGAATGTGCGAATGTGCGAAAAAAATGACTCCCGGGACTGTCTACAGGGAACACTCGCATATTGCCCAACATTCGCGGTGTATCAGGACAGCGCGACTGGCCAAGCAACCAGTCGGCATTAGCGCAGCGGCAGTCCCTGTAATTAGTAACAGTTGCACATCAATCCGGCCGAAAGCATGATTGTGTAACACAGGCTACTTCTTCATACACCGGCTCATACTACAAGACGCCTTTACAACTAGCAAATCATAAAATTACCCGATCTACTAGTATGTGCGGTTTACCAGCCCCAGACCACATCCGACCACGAGGCAGAACACATTGATGGGTTGCTCAAAAATATTGTCCATGTTTACAAAGAGCTGCTCCACTAACACTATGGAGCGGCCCAACCCAAAAATATTGGCCATGTGTACAGTGAATTACGAAGCGGCCAGCATGCTCGTTGCTAGGACGACCGACCAGTTGCGACGTGACTAAATACACGCCGCCACTAGGTCGCCACAGCCGACCAGTTTGAAATCGATAGGATTACGTCATCGGTATTTACATTTCGTAATGTTGACCTCTGACCACCCCACATTTCCGTCCCCATCAGCCTGACCGCCACTTACTAACTACTACCGGTCACATAAACAGACGAAAACATATTTCAACGACATGGGGATGTTTCGAAAATAAGCATTTACTCAAATATCAAAACAGCTACGGTAAAAATAAAAAGACGTGCATCATCCCGGACATAATGCCACACCACATGCGAAATTACACAGAAATGCGACGTACGGAAGAATGCGTTTTGGCTGCGAACATCTTCCAAAAAACTTGCCATCTCTTAAGTACGGCCAAAAACATCTGGAACCACTTATCAAAACCACCCCGTATCTGCATGAAGTTCCACCCCCCCACTGCTATTCCAAACAACGCGTTTTTCTGGACCATTCCAATTCGCCTCGTAATTGTAGGGGTGCGTCTGCAATATTACATTAACCGCGAAAGCAGCGACGGCAAAAATACACATTCGTGCATCAACACGGGCATGCCCGCAGACGGCATATAAAATTGCGTGCCGATTACACAAAGAGAACCCAGTTTTTTGACTGCGAACACGAAAAACCAGCCGTTCACAACACTCCGTCCGGAGGTCCTGACCTCCTTCACGGAGTAAAAATCAATATGGCTATCAAACATTGTAAAGCCTAAACTTCAAAACGGCATTGCTTTGTCACGTATATATACATACATATGGTACATAGTCATAACTGTATTAGGGTGTTTGAAAGGCCAGCTATAAACGTAAATTGAATCCCAATGCCTGTCAGGTCCAAACGGCTTGAAATAAAGATTATGGAATATCCTCTTAGTAGCAGATACTTCTAAACGACAACAAATTGCCCTTAATCCTAACTACAAGAGATGATTGTCTGTACACTATATGACATCCAGTAGATTTGTCTCCACTTTATTTGCATATCAATCAACAGGTTGTACTTATAAACCTGCTTTCCCCTCTGGTCTCTCAGTCACTGACGAAAGCTAGTGGATACTAGCTGAAACGTCTGACGTTTTCAAAATCATATCCAGTTGCTTGAGTAACTGTTTTTTTGGCGTATCGTATTACCTGGATGTCTAACCTTCATCGACGTAGAGCGCGTAATTGTTTCTTGTTTACTTCAGTACTAAGTACTAGTACTTGCACAATCAGTTATTTAAGTCATACCTTAGTAAAATCTACTTTGATGAACGAATCAAAACGGGACTGTAGACATTAAGTTTTACACATTCAAATGTGACTGCACCAGCGCTAATGGAGCGACCACTACGTACGGGAAGGAACGGATCTTAGTAAAGCCGAGATTTGTGAACCAAACCCAACCCATCGAAGACGGGCCGCCAAACATAAAAATGGAGGGAAATGACAGACAACAAGCCAACAAACACAACATCACCAGACCAACAAACTTGGAAAACACCACTTCAAGCGCTAACGTTGTAAGAACTGTGGAACCTCAAACTAGTATGTTTGCGTCAGCGGAAAGGCTGTCGAAGTAACGACTACATGAAAAACTGCGGCGAAAAAGTAACATGGGTTCGTCCCAAATCTAGACGCAAGTGAGCTACAATGTAATAGAACCTACGCATCTTGCTTGTTGCTGTCAACTTACCCGTTAAAGATTGAACCGATACATGTACGTACTATAACTTGCCATACCCGGCCAAAGACGACTACATTACTGTTACTCTTTATTTTGTGCTGTATAATGTATATGCGTTACATTATCTATCATTGTCATTTCTGTGAATTCCTTACAACATCTACCGTTAGTTTGTGTAACATTACGTAGTGCTACAATCTGCGTAAAAAGTGGGCTTCATTTCGTGTTAACTGCTAAGTCGTGTTGGTATTGAAAACTGTTTTATTGTGCCGTTCTTCTACAAACAGCCAGCAGAATTATGAAGATACATTGTACTCGTTCTCAATTCCCATGCTGCAAACTAAAGTAATGGCAGTCCTACGAAAATTCTGTTTGTAATGTATAAGCGCTTTTTTGTCGACGTACAATGGGTGTGAAATACATGTTTTCGCCCATCGTGTGCCACCGGCTCGGTGGTAATTGGCTACTTTACAAGTGAAAGAACCGCGTCCGTGGGCCTTGATAAATTATTCAAATTATTCAGCAGCTCTCTGATTGGTCCCCGCTAGAAATTTACTGGATGTCATTCAGTGACGAGCCCCCCCCCCCCCGGAAGAATGGCGCCAAGAAAAGGCAACACCTCAGAAGACGATTCTATATCCCTGTCCGTTGTCAAAGAACTACTAGAACTACAAGAGAGGAACTTCAAATCATTCTTGGACACGATTATGGAGTCAACACACAAGAGAATGGACAACATTATACGTGAAGTTCAAGAGATCAAGGACAGCCTACAATACTCTCAAAAGGAAATCGACGAAAACAAAATCAACCTACTCCGACATGTACAAAAGGTAGAGGACATAGACACAGAAATAACTCTACTCAAGAAAGACATCACCGCAAACGACACCAAAGTTGACTACCTGGAAAACCAATCTAGACGAAATAATATATTGATTGACGGAGTCGCTGATACAAAGAACGAGACTTGGGAGCAGTGTGAACAGAAAGTAAGGGAACTAGTCAGGGAGAAACTAAAGCTAGACCCAAAACAGATAGAGATCGAGAGAGCGCATAGAACCGGACGGAGGGCGACCACGCCCAATTGTAGCAAAGCTACATCTACATTAATGAGGACTACTCAGAGAAGGTGAGACAGAAGAGGAAGGAACTGATCCCACAGATGAAAGCTGAAAGAGAACGAGGAAACATCGCCTACCTGAAGTTTGATAAACTCGTTGTACACCCACCTGGGGAGGGAAGAACAGATCGCAGACGCACTAGAGCCGACTCCAGACATTGAAGACACGATTCGAAATTCCTGAACTGTTTCCTGTGGAAATTCCTGAACTGTTTTGAGCTAAGTCAAGTAACCCTTGAACACCCATCATGAACTCAATTCAAAAACCCCTCAACCCAGCACCCTGATATTTAACCCTACTGAACTAAATAATTTAGACAATGAGTCACAAATTTCCCCACTGGATCCTGATACAGACTTTCTTAATGACTTTTATACTTCTATAAATACATATTCCCAATATTATACTGCTGAATCCTTTAATAAATCTTGCAACATGTCCTGTTGTAACACTCTATCTCTGTTCCACTTAAATGTACGAAGCCTTCCTTGCCATTTTAATGAGCTCAATGAATATCTCTCCTCCTTGCACCAAAATTTTACAGTTCTTGCAATAACAGAAACATGGCTAACAGATAATATCACAGAAAATTATAGTATACCTGGTTATAATAGCATACATCACTGCAGAAAGAATAGATCTGGAGGGGGGGGGAGGGCTCGTCACTGAATGACATCCAGTAAATTTCTAGCGGGGACCAATCAGAGGGCTGCTGAATAATTTGAATAATTTATCAAGGCCCACGGACGCGGTTCTTTCACTTGTAAAGTAGCCAATTACCACCGAGCCGGTGGCACACGATGGGCGAAAACATGTATTTCACACCCATTGTACGTCGACATAAAGCGCTTATACATTACAAAGAGAATTTTCGTAGGACTGCCATTACTTTAGTTTGCAGCATGTGTATTG